TCCTTATTTATTCAAATAGGTTCTCTATCCCTTGCTTGCTCTCTTCTCCTTCTGGTATTCCCATGATGCAGACGTTTTTATGCTTCATATTCTCCAAAATGTTTCTTCAGCTCTCCTAAATTTTTTAAATCCTTCTTTTCTTTTTGCTTCTCTGCTTGGGTGTTTTTTCCTACTTCATCTTCCAAACCACTGGTTCGATCCTCTGCTTCATCTAACTGATTGTTTATTCCTTCCAGGGTATTATTTAATTACAGATATTGCATTCTTTATTTCTGATTGGTCCTTTTTTATGGTTTATATGTCCTTTTTCCATGCTGTTGAGTATCCTTATAACCATTCTCTATCTGATAAATTCTCTATCTGATAAATTGCCTCCATTTCATATAGTTCTTCTGGAGAATTATTTCTTGTTTTTTATGTGGAGTCATTTTCTTTGTCTTCCCATTTTTGCTCCTTCTTTGTAATTGTTTCTATTTATTAGGTAGATCTGCAATGACTATGGTGTAGGCCTTTGTCAGGTGTTACTTGTGACTGGCCCTGGTTTACCTGTTTGGAGCTATCAACTTTCCGCCATATGTGGCTCCCTCTGCTGGGTTTGTCTATGTGTAGAAAGAACCAGGCTGCACCTAGGCTGGCTTTTATCAGCACTAGGCCCGGGGGAGGGTCAGCTAAAGTCTCAGATGTCCCAGAGATCTGCCTTAGTTGTTAAAATAACCACTGATATACCCTCAAGCTGTACTGAGCAGCCCAGTTTACTGTATTTTGCCATGTATAATATGCACTTTTTTGCCCAAATTTTGAAGGGAAACATAAGGATGCATATTATGCATGGCTAGTACCTAAAATACCTTGTATCTCTTCTTGTGTTTTGTAATTATTCGTTACATAAAATTTCTTGTACCATAATATGTTCAAAAAATAAATGTTAAAATTCCTTTATAGTACAAAAACCAATTATATATAAATATAAATAAGTAAATAATTGAATTAAAAATTAAAACAAAAAGATTTTTGTCCTGAAAGTTTGGATGAAAAACATGGATGCACGTTATACATGGCAAAATATGGTAAGCTCCACAGATTGGGGCAGAGGAATTCCTGTGGGTGAGGCTGTTGTTCCCCCTCAGGTGATGCCACTTTGAGGGCAATGCTCTGCCTGAGAAAGATGGCCTCTGTAGTATGGAGAATGCCTCAGCCCAGCTGTCCTGGTGGTTGTTCCTTCAGTTCTCTCCACAGAGCCACCAGCCCCAGACTATCCTTAAGTGTGTCTAGTCCACTCTGCCCTCTCTCTACTGGAGCCCATGGTAAGGGGCTGCAAAAGAAATTTTGTGCATTGGCCCTTTAAGAGGCTCTCTGCATCTCCAGCTATCTCTCCTGGTGGACAGAAACTCCACTGCTTTTCACAGCTGGATATTATCTGGGTTTCTTTTCAGCTCTGGTGCTGTAGTCTGGGAAGCCCATTTAGGGGTTTAGATCCTCCACTCTCAGGGGCAGACCCCTAGCTGCTGAAACGTCCCTCCAGCACTTCAGCTGCTGCCGGAGGGAGCCCAGCCAGCCCTGTCGTGCCTCCTGCACACTCCCTACCAGTCTTGTGGTGAAATGGTTTCTTCTCTCTGACCTTGGTTATAAGGCTTCTCTCCAGTTAGTGTTCAGTTGGTTATTCAGGATGATTTCTCTGCAATTTAGCTGTAATTCCAGCTTGGTCCTGGGAGGAGGTTAGTGTAGCTTCCACTTACTCCTCTGCCCTCTAATCTTTTTAAAGAACTGGCAAGACTGAAAAAAAAAATAGGTTGTTCTTTGGATTATAAAAAAAGGGGGGCATGCTGTTCTTTTTAAAAAAGGTTTCCATTATCCTCAGTATCTTATTTCTGCTCTATATTTGCCTTGCCCAGGCAGAATTATTCTTAAACCTCACATCACCACAGTGCTTCCCTGTCTATCAGGCCAACACATGTGGCTGTTATTTCTTTTCTCAGCTCAATATGCTCTTTCTTCTATTGTACAGATCACCTCTGACATCCTGCCTTTTTATAAACGAATTTTCTGACTAAATCAGAGTGGTAATTGTCACTATTACATGTCTCTTTATTTTTCATCACACCCAAATGTCTTGCTATATTATGCAAAATATATATGTATTTAATACCCTTGTATATGTATTTATGAGGTATAATATAAAATAAGAGAAGTCTTTATTGTTTTGTACCCATCAGAATTTCAATTTCAAAGTCATTGTGGTCCCTTGAGAAGTTATATACTCTGTGCCTGAGATTTATATTCCTCATTTTCCATGGGCTTTTTAAAATGCCCTTTTCAATTCCTTATGTATTAAAATAATCAAAGAAACTAGTAGAGAAGAATAAAAAAATCAAAGTGTTCATAAGGAAATGAGACTTACTGAAAGTGATTTACATAACTTATCAGCTGTTGTCTTTCACATTTTCTCTTTGTATGGCTTTTGGTTTATTTGATCAGAAGCCCGACCTTGTCATTATAAAATTATGTTTATGCCATTTGATTAACATTATATAATAAACTACTCTCAACTGTAGCTACTGCCTCTGAATTTAAATCACCTTCAAGGATAGAAGGGAGAATTAAGTCAAAGAAACAAATGGTTCCTGAGGGTAGCCAGTCAGCAAGCTCTCTTTCTGATGCAGTTCCATTTTCACTATTGCCGCTCTTAAAGCAGTGTGACCATTTTCATTCAGTAAAGTCACGGAGTTCTTTTCATGAAAAGACTGTCGGTATGAGTAATCTTTTAAGGAGGAAGGTGACTAAGTTGTCATCAACACCAGTACTTGAAGTTCTTGTAAAACATCAGTTGACCTTGCTTAAATTTGAGAAAATAAAATGTTAGTACACATGAACACATTTTCTTTCAGCACTGAAAAATTCTAGCCTATAATTTTCCTGCTTGCTAAGAATAGAAGTATTACTTAAAGGTATATTGAGATATTTTTTCTCAGAAATAGATTTGCCCTGGCTGGTGTGACTCAGTTGGAATATCCTTCCGAACACTGAAATATCAGGGGTTTAATCTCCAATGGGGCAGGCATGGGAAACAATGTATCAATGTGTGTGTTTCTCTCCCTCTCCTCTCTTTGTAGAATCAATTAAAAATATGCTTAGGTGAGGATTTAAAAGAAAAGAGAAAGAAATAGATTTAATGCATAGAATTATTCCATTTTCCATCTGTGCTCTCTTTACTACCACCTAGTGGAATATATGAAGGTTGCCTGTCAATTAACATTGGGAGATGGAAATGAGTAAGATGAAATTTATCTCAGAAAAAAAATTCCATGATGATGAATTATCATTTCTTTCTTAGTGTAATACTGGTTGCAAAAAAGTACATGAGTTCAGAGTGAAGAAAGTCCAGGAATTCATATGATATCTAATAAAAAGCTCTCTACAAATAAAGCTATTTTGTTTAGAAACTTAGAGGATAGATAATTACTGAGACTCTGTCTTGCCCTTTGTCCTTCTAAATTATGTTGAGAAGCTTCTCTTAATTACTCAATATAAGGGTCCCCAAAATTTTAAAATATTAAACTTTAAATCTCCTTTGATATGAAGGGATCGTTGTACTTAACTGATAGGTGGGAAAAAATGCAGATAAACTAGTGAATCTTTATCAAAGCTGTGAAGAAAAGCAGATGTGTATATTCTGAGGTGCTTTCTCCCAAACAATGAAACCCAAAAAAGGAGAATGAAGCTTTAAGGCTCTTCACTCTTTATTAGTGGGGAAGCCCTGTTCAGTCCCTATTAAAGAACAAACACGAACAAACAAAACCTGTTGCTTGCTGACTAATTTCTTTGACTTGGTACCTGTCACCCAGTATCTATTTGCTGTGTGGCCATGGAGCTAGTCCTCACATTTACATGGAATGTGAGTGCCATCAGCTTCCCTTTTTCGAAGGTAGCACGCTCTTCAGATGGCATCGGTGTCCACATACACAGACACACTTGTTTGTGCTTACAAATATTTTCCCTACCTGATTCTTGATGACCTGGGCATAGGTAGGGGGAGCAGGACCAAGGTAGGATAGTAGGGAATATAATTAAAATTCAGAAAAAGAAATATCCCCACATCCGCTTTCAGCATGTCTTATGAAACATTACAAAAGTCACAAAATCCACTGGGACTGAGTTTCTTCTCATTCTTTCCCTGACAGATTCCTACCTTGTGCAGCCAGACAGGCTCTGTGAACGCAGTACAATCTTTTATATCTTAAGACTCTCAATGTAATTGTCCTGACTTGTTTTCTTACTTTCTGTGGTTTTGAGTGGCACAAGACAGCCCAGTGAGCTCTCTTGCCTATTTGATAGGTAGCCCTCAACACTTCCAGTCTCTCAATTTTTCTCCTTAATAAACAACTGACAGTGATTACTTATAACTGATGTGCTGAAGGACTTTGTATGATTTTGCAGTGTTGACTTACGATGAATGCTTGTTGGAAAGGCCAGCTTCTGTCTTTGCCATTCATGATATAAGTTCCTGAGTCCCATCCTCTCTTTTGGGGGGATATATTTATCTTGTCTGGTGTCTTTGCCTCTAGTGTAGCTACATTCTTGCTGTCCAGTACCAGTCATGCGTGTCAAAACAGAAGGTGAAGTTAGAGAAGCAAATATTACATTTCATCCCCAAAGACTAAAATCATGTCTGAGTTCTAAATCTTTCAATTTCCAATCAGTGCAACATTGAAGGGTGTTATATAGCTAGTTAAAAATATATTTCTCTAAAAACTCTACTAACAAAAAAGGAACATATTTGATTTTCCTCTAAAATTAAAACAACTGGGAAAACAAAGCAAAAGGAAACTTAAGTACTCGGTTCTCTGTGTTTTCTTCTAGAAAACCATTTTTAACTTTGCGTAACCCAATGTTAGAAGTAACGGTGTGCGTCTTTTGGGAGATAGTTACAGATCTATTCTAGTCTCTGAGACTGGTGTCTCCATTTTGAATGAACAGTTGTGTGTACTTTTACTTTCTTGCAGCCTTCTCTTGGAGTCAAGAAGCCTACAAAAGCCATGATCTTTGTGATCTTGAGTCCCGTGGGACCTTACTTTTCGAAGGGAACCTTTAAGCCAGTGTCCCTGTGGGCTGATCCAAAGTTTATAAGAGCCTGGAAAGGGGGGACCGGGGACTGCAAGATGGGAGGGTAAGTAAGTCTGTGCTTCTGTCTAAAGGAGGGTTCCTCACGACCATTTAGTTGCCATTTCACTTCAATACAGATACCTATAGTAACATTCAATTTATACTGCTCATTTTTATTTTGTGTTCAGTTTTCAGTGTTCTCACGGTGCTCGTTGTTTAAAGGAAAACCTATGGCCCTTTATAGGGAGAAACTTGGTTATGCTTAAGCATGATTCAAATCAGTGCTTTGGTTGAACTGCCCCCGGATGCTGGTCCTCTGACAGCAGGCTGTCAGCTGGCATTGGAGAGTGTCTGGTGCCGGGGCCAAGGCCCTCGGATGGCTCCAGGGAGCCCTGTCTGGGGAAAGTGCCTGCTTCATTGAAGTGCTGTCTTCATTGCCACAGATTGTAGCCATACCTGCTGCCAACTGGCTGAGGGACAGCCCTGCTTTGGCTGTGTCAGGCCAGTCTCATAGGCCATATGTAGCTGGCTGGAAATAAAAGAGCATTTGAAAAGTGTTAGACAATTTCAGGGGTGGACTTGGCCGTGACTGGGGGATGCCCCTGTGGGTGAGCAAGAATAGCTGCATTAACCAGTGCGGGCTCTTCCTTTGTGACCACCAAGTGCTTATGTGTATCACGTAACCGGGACAGCAGCAGTCCTGGAAGGTTACTCAGTGACAATCTTCTGGGTCCCGGGACAAAATGTAGACTCAGGAAGTCTTGGGAGAATTCAATGGCGAATGATGTGAGACAGATGCTGAAGCTGGCTTTGACCCTTATATTGTCTTTCTCTATCTTTACTGAAAAAATAGTTATAAAATTCTGTGTCTTGTCATCTCTGTTTGCAATGTAGTGACTGCTTTCTCTCAATAGATAGAGAAATACTAGTGCAGTTTTTTAAACCATGAAGTTGCTTTCCTTTCCTTCTGGTTTAGAGCACTCCTTCCTCGATATGTACTAGGCTAACCAGGTTGAAATGACTTCTGTTTACTCTCCTGGTTTCTTTTTTACTTATTCAGACTTCTGTATATGCATTGCACACCCTCTGCATTATACTTTGTTAAACCTTCTCTTAGAGGGTCATCACAGTAAATCAACAATCCTGATAAAAATATAATACTTTAGAATAGATTTTCTTCCTTATATCTTGCTTTCTAGCTCCCCCTATCTGCCTAGGGAAAAGAAAACATGGGGACATAGTGAAATTGCAGGGAAATCTTTAGTTTTGGTTGGGCAGCTTGTTATTTATTATAAAAAAAATAACATGCAGTATCAACAGAATACATGATCGTTATAGGCCAATTAAAAACTAATACTGTGTTGGTGAGGATGTGGAAAAAAGTGAGCCCTTGTTGGTGGCAATGCCTATGGATGCAGCAACTGTGGAAAACAGTATGGGTGTTCCTCAAAAAATTAAAAATGAAACTGCTTTATGACCCAGCAAATCTGCTTCTGAATGTTTATCAGAAGAAACCCAAAGCACTAATTTGAAAGAATATATGCTCCTCTGTGTTCCTCACAGCATTATTTATGATAACCAAGATGTAGAAGCAACCCAAGCACCCATCAAAAGACAAGTAGATAAAAAAAGCCACCACACATACTCATATATACAATGAAATAGTATTCAGCCATAAAAAAGAATGATGTCTCATTATTTGCAACAGCATGGATAGATGTAGAGGGTATTATGCTAAGTGAAATAAGTCAGTCAGAAAAAGACAAATACCATATGAGAGGGAACCAAAAAAACCCTGGAATTTATTTATTAAAAATTGTATATTTATTCTTACATGTTTAAACTTCAGTCACCTTCAAAGTACTCTCCATTTGATGTAATGCATTTATTGACACATTTTTTCCACTGCTCAAAAACATTTTTTGAACGCATTGATTTTTGTTGCCTTTTAGTGCTTCTGCCATTTTTTATTTCACCTCTTCCACATTGGCAAAACGTTTCCCTCTGAGGACTGTTTTCATGAAGGGAAACAATACAAAGTCGCTCAGGGTGAGACTGGGTGAATAGGGAAAGTGGGGCGTGGGGGTCATGCTACTGTTGGTCAAAAACTGCTGAACACTCAGTGTGGTGTGGGCAGGAGTACTAGCCAATTTCCCATCATGAAATGGGAAAATGTGTTGAAAAAGTCTTCAAAAAAAAAAAAAAATTAACTGAAGCCCAACACAGTCTCTCACAATACCACCCGCGGGGACACTGATACAGAAGGGTTCCTGGGACACTCACCTAGTCGGGGAAGCCTGGACTACAAGGGGCCTGCCTTCCAGAAGAGAATTTTGTTTTTTGGAAGGTCCCTCTTAATATGATTTCATTTATATGTGGAATCTAAATACAAAATAAGTGAACAAACTAGAAACAGACTCATAGATACAGAAAACAGACTAATGGTTGCCAAAAGAGAGGGGTTTGAGGGACTGGGGGGAAAAGGTGAAGGGATTGAAGAGTACAAATTAGTAGTTAGAAAACAGGCACAGGGATGTAAAGCGCAGCATAGGGAATATAGTCACTAATATTGTAATAACTATGTGTGGTGCTAGGCGGACACTGGAAATACCAGGGGATCACTTTGTAAAGTATACGATTGTCTAACTACTATGCTGTCTGCCTGAAACTAATATAAAATAATATTGAATGTAAACTGTAGTTGAAAAATAAAATAAAGAATACTTAGTTTTTTTAAAACTAATATTTTCCGTACAAAACAAAGAGTGAACCCTAATGTCCCTATGGACTTTAATTAATAATAGTGTGTATATATTGGCTCATCAATAACAAGTGTACCAACTAATACAAGATGTTGATGGGGGCATAGGATATATAGGAACTCTACTTTTTGCTCAGGTTTTCTGTAGTTTTATAACTACTCTCAGAAATAAAATATTTTTTTTAAATTAATACTTTGACTCATTAGGCTCAGGTAGAGCATGATCAATAGAAGTCAACTTGAAATCTCCTTGAAAAAAAATATTTTATCTCATAAATAGGCATAAAAGCAAGGACAACAAGAGGGGAATCAATAAGTAAAGGAATGGACTTTTAACCCAACTACCTGTTGTTTCCAAGAAGCTGTAAAACTCTCTACTTCCAACCTGGAGAGGTACAAGGGAAACAAATGATTCTACATTAAGTATCAACCCACGTGTTTGGCAGGGGCATTTTGGCAGCAACCTTAGATTCATACATCATTGCTTATTCTCTAAACCTAATTAATTCAACAATTACTTTCTAAGCCTTTTTAAGGACCTCTGTCACCAATTGGCATTTATTAAAAAGCTGTTGAATCTCATAAACTCAAATTTTTCTAAGTTAATCTGAGGAAGAAAGAGAGGAGGGTTTTTAAGATTACCTCACTTTTTGGAAACCATCAGAGATAACGTTATCCTTTTATTTCTGAATATATATGAGAAAAGTAATACAGTGGAACATAGCTTAAGGAGAGTTCTAGCACAGGTTCTCACCTGTGGCTGCAAACTGAAACCACCTGGAGAGTTTTACCTTCTGCTGTCCAGGCCCCACTGCTAGCAATTCTGGTTTCTCTGGTCTGGCATGTAGCTTGAGCAAAAAAAATCCGAATTTTTAAAATGCTCCCCCAAAGCTGAGAAACACTGAGCCAGAAGGTCTTTCATTATAGGGGCATCTTTATTCCTAGGCAGTGTCTTAGTTTTTTAGTGAAGCTGGAAAGAAGCAGGCCTGCCTCTCCCCCCAACTTTTTTTTTTTTTTTTCTTGCACTCTTATTCCACACTTGAGTGCATGCTTTGAAGTTAGAAGGACCTGGCTTAAAAACCAAACTGCCCTTGGCATTCTACTTAACTGCTCTAAGCCTCAGTTTCCTCATTTATAAAGTCAGGGTAATCACACCCACCACACCTGCGAGGCGTGCGCAGCATGTGGTTGGCCCATGGAAAGCTCTCAATGAGTGTGGTGTTACAGCCTGGCAGTGAAAAGAAGTGTGGGCTTGGGAGTTAGAGATACCTGAGAGCCATGCACTTACATCTGTGTGATCTTGTGCAATTAAGTCCTCTTTTCCTACAAATCCTCAGACGTGTAATAAAGCCTAGGGTTGTTTTAAGATGAGTCAATGAAATAATGGGGTTAAGTACCTTGCACCCTGCCTGGCAGGCAGTTACTTCTCAACAGACAATAGTTGATATTATGAGGCTTTCTTTACTCTTTTGGAGAAATGTACTTAATATCTCTTTTCTAGGGTATTTATTCTATTTAAAATTCTATTTAAAATTTTTGATATAGATAGTTTTCTCATTTTTCTCTTTCCTCCAAGGAACTGTATTTCTTTTCTGAATATTGATAGCATATGGGAGTGAATCCAAATATATGGGTATTATTATGGTATCACTTCCCCTGAGGAGGTTAATAATACAATTTATACCTGAGAGGATTTTGAGGAAAATGTGTGTTTAGAAAAAAAATACCATCTATAGAATATGATATTTAAACAAACCAAACAAATAAAAACCCCTTTCCTTTCAATGAACTGAAATAGTGGGCTTTAATTCTCTTTCCTGCCCCAGTAGCTTTATGTTGCTAAGAAGCCATAGTTTTAATTCTGCTATACTTTCAAAAGGGTGCGTGTGTTTGTTTTTAGAAGGTTCTTCAAAAGGCTAAATATCCATACTGTGAAAATTCTGTATGTATTTTTGTAATAGCGTAAAGGGAATTTTACTTATGAGAAAAATCATTCCCCTATTGTCAGATATGGTAAAATCTCAACACTTGTGCCTGTGAACTAGAGAAAAATCAATTATAATAGTCTTTTTTTTTTTTTTTTTTTACTGATAAGAGGCTTACGTAACCTGTTTCTTAGCTTTTATTGTTATTATTTTATTTTTTGCATACAATCTTATGTAGTATTTCTATAAAGCAAGAGCTTTTATTTGTCAGATGAATTCAGGGAGGCAAAAATTGTGGACTGAGTTCACTCAAATAGAAGTAGAGGAGCTGCACCGGAGCCTGCAGGCCCCAAACCCATGCCTTCTGTTGGACTTCCCCCTGAAGCTGGGTTAACACTCATTATTTAAAATTATCCATAATTTAACGCAGTTACTGCCTATTCATCAATTCTGAATAGAGGTTATATGAATTTTTATTAAATAAAAGCCTCATATAACAAAATTGTATCATCTTTAGATTAACCAATAATTTATATTTTATTATCCACATTTTGAAAATCTTTATTTTTAATTTAACCTTTATTGTATTTTTTCCCATTACTATTTAGTCCCTTATAACCCCCTTCCCCCAGTAATTCACACACTGTTGTCCCAGTCCATGTGTCCTTTTTCCATTTTGTTCAATCTCCCCACCCTCTAACTTTCACCCCACCCCTAGCTGTCATCTGCTCTCCATCTATGAGTCTGTCCCCATTTTCCTTGTTAGGTCAGTTTGTTCATTAGATTCCACATATGAATGAACTCATATGGTATTTGTCTTTCTTTGACTGGTTTATTTCACTTAGCATAATATTCTCCATACTGCCATTCATCCATACTGCCGCAAAGGGTGAAATTTTCTCCTTTTTAATGGCTGATTAGTTTTCCATTGTGTAAATGTCCCATAGTTGTTTTATCCGTTTATCTACTGATGGACGCTTGGGCTGCTTCCATATCTTGGTGATTGTAAATAACGCTGAAATGCATATAAAGGTGCTTGTGTTCTTTTGAATTAATGTGCTGTGTTCCTTGGGATATAGTCCAGAAGTGGGATTGCTGGGTCAAAAGGCAGATTTCATTTTTAATATTTTGAGGTGTCTCTATACTGTTTTCCACAGTTGGCTGCACCAGTCTGCCTTTCCACCAACAGTGCAGAAAGATTCTCCTTTCTCCACATTCTCACCAGCACTTGCTCTTTGTTGGTTTATTGATGATAGCCATTCAGACAGATGTGAGATGATATCTTATTGTGGATTTAGTTTTCATTTCTCTGATGATTAGTGACATTGAGCATCTTTTCATATATCCTCTTCTAATGACTATTTCATGACCTCCATGTGAGTAAACCTCATGCCCCAGATTGCTATAGCAATGGAGTGTAATGCTTATTTCCCATAGTTTCTAGAATAATTTATTTATTAGTCAACTTTCTTTCAGTTGCATGTCAGAAAACCAACTCAAGCCATTTTAAGCAGGAAAAAAAGATTGATTGGCTCACCCAAAAGACTGATTGGGTGGTAGCAGTGGATCTGTGGAGGGCTCAAATTGTTGTTGCCAATGCATGTGTCCTACAACCCCCTGCCCCCTATTTCTTGTCACAGCTTCTGTCTGTGCGTTAGCCAAGAGCGCTCCCATTTCAGTTGTCTTCTGTGAAGGCTGGTGATCAGGGACAAAATAGACCCCAGGCTACATCATTGCAAACAAGCAGCCACTGTCCTTGAAGTGAGAAAATGTATCTTTCACATCCTAAAGATGAAAATGAACTCAGAGAAGGATTTCCACGAGCAGCTTAGGTTACACACCCACCCTTTGATCAAGTTGCCCAGGGCAAAGGGCTAGACTGTCAGCCCAAGCAGAATGTCCTGGCTGTGAAGGAAGAGCCACCGAGACTACGGAGGGAAGGGAAGCTGAGCAGATGAGGATGGCAGGTAGTCACTGTACTGTGTGCCGAACTGACGCTCTTACTTAGACAATACTGGACATTTTAACCTTGCCCATATGTAAAAGTGATCATTTAAAAGGTCTAGAAAGGTATTTTTTTGGAAGATAACATTACTGCTTTGTAGTAGTATTTTTATGTTTGGCAGTCGCTTGTTTTTGTGTGCTTCTGGGGACTTCACCTTCCGACACCGGGTCTCGGTTTTATTTCCCAACCTTGACTGTGATGTGGTCATGCTTTTCAGACTTGTTCACTCATGTCCTCTGAAAGTCAAGGAAAGAGAGTTATATAGCCAGGGGAGGGGGAGGCAAGCAAGCATCACATTTATTTGAGACTCTCCTGTTTTATTTTAAACATTCATCTGTATTTTGCATTATATGCCATTTGAGTTGAATAAAAAATAAAAATATTACCGAACTAACTTGTCGTTCTAGGGAGGTGTATCATGTTCCTTTGATTTTTGAATAACCCAAGATGAAAAGTGCATATTGGGAAAAATGAGCTTTGAGAATACTTTTTGTTAAAATAAGGATTTTTAACATCTTGTCCCACATTTTGGGGAATTTAGTCATTTCTTAGCTATATTTCAGGGTCTCAGTTAAGAGAGCACAGGCTTGGTGTTCTGCCCCTTAATTTCTGTTACTTGACACAAGTTACTTCTCTAAGCCTCAGTGTCTCATCTGAATTATGGAAATATTCATAGGGGCTGACTCAGTATGAGTATGGGGTTTAAATGAAATAATTCATGTGAAATTGTTTGGTAGGTGAAAAAACACTCAATGACTTTTAACTTTTGTTAATTTGGCCATTTATCTGTTCTCGTATCTCTGCTTTCCAAGTTAGGGTCCCAAAATTTGCTCTCCTCTCTCTTTCTCTCTCAAATCATGCAGTTAAACCATTTAGGTTCTAATTTAATGTTGTGCTGTTAACTAGAGAGTATATATACATTAAGAATATAGTCTACTGATTACATCTGCGTGTGAATTAAAAATGAGTATTTTAGCATAGAATACGGGGGTAAAGGTTGAAGTATATTTATATATCACTATGTTTCCTGTTTCTTAAAAGGAACTATGGCTCATCTCTTTTGGCCCAATATGAAGCAATGGATAACGGGTGTCAGCAGGTTCTGTGGCTCTATGGAGAAGATAATCAGATAACGGAAGTTGGAACTATGAATCTTTTCCTTTACTGGATAAATGAAGATGGAGGTAATGTACTGATTTCAGCTCCTTGCCTTTTTTTTTTTTTCCCCTTCAGTCATTTTCAGTGGGATTGGAAGAACTAGAACCTTAGAACAAGGGGATAAGTAGCACAGTTCCAATGTCCAAGAAGTACTGTGCTTTTGCTGTCCAAGTAGACATGAGTTCACAGAATTTGTGAAGGTTTGGTTTTTTGGTTTTTTGGCTCTGGATGTAGTTATTATTAAGATATCAACTTAAGGAATTTAAGATTTGCTGCCTTGCTCCTTTTACTGTCTTTGACATTTTTCTTATTGGAAATCCCTTGTATTTGGAGGTAGGTCACAGATCAATTCAATGGTCATACATCATATACTATGTATAAAATGCTATAGTAATGCCCTGGCTGGTGTGACCGAGTGGATTGAGTGCTGGCCTGTGAATTGAAGCGTTGCTGGTTTGATTCCCAGTCAGGGCACATGCCTGGATTGTAGGCCAGGTCCCCAGTTAAGGGCATGTGAGAGGCATCTGATCGATGTGTCTCTCACACATCGATGTTTCTCTTCCTCTCTTTCTCCCTCCTTTTCCCTCTCTCTAAAAATAAATAAATAAATAAATAAATAAGTAGAATAATCTTCTGTTAAAATAATGCTATCGTAATAAACATAGTCTACTGATTCTACTGATAATGACATTTAGTATACTCCCTTGCTAAAATTCTTTCAACAGTCGTTGCCCTTTATACATATTTTGATAATGTCTCAGAAGCCTTGAAGTTTTACTCTGGAGCTAAATTTGATTCGAGAACACTATTTTTAAGGACGTACTCCTCTATCTTGGGATTATACTTAGATCCTGGTTCATTCAGGTCTACTAATATACTCGTATGTCTACTATAAAAATCAGTACTTCTTTACTACCTTTAATATCTTGAATGCTCATCATCTCTTATTGCTATTTTCTTTTTTACTATTAGTTGGCAGAGACCATAGGAGTTTAGGGAAGTTCAATGTCTATGGTATTGAATTAAATGGCCAGTAATGGGGGCGGGGGTGGTAATGCAGACATATGCATTTGTTTCTAGTAGAACTTTAATAGTCATAAAAAATTTAAAAAACATTTTTAGGCTTGTTTGCATTTTTAGGCCTTTTATTTCACAGTACTGAGTATAGAAATGTAAAATGTTATTGAATAGTTTCCAAGTACTTATAAAGTCTCAATATTGGTTTCCAATAAAAATTTTAAGTGTAATTTTTATTTGAAAGAGCTAGAGTAGTCTGTTACTCTTTTTTTTTTTTTTTTTTTTTTACTTGACTACAGATAGAGAAAAATGGGGACTCATGGCTGACACTATAGCTATCCACCAATTTGAGCATTAGTTGTAGAGCCTAATAAGATTGGGCCTTACATTCCAGCGAGAGGTAGAATAAATGAAGGTGTGAGTATACCTTGCCCTGAGATTGGCCATTGGTAATCCTGGGCATATGAAGAGGCAACTATAGATCATGCTCATTCTTCCATTCCCGCTGTTTATACTTGCACTATTTAAAAACACAATTTATAATGGAGTATTTGTGATTTCTAAATTTGAGTTATTGCATATGATGTATATCAAAAGCTGTGCTTGAAAGGTGACAGCCAGTGTCGAACTCTGTACTTAGGAGATCATGGATTGATTCAGCTCCTTCTTCATACCTACCCACTCCTACTCCCCTCCCCTGCAACCCACACAACTCCAAACAAAAACAGTTACATCAGACAGAAGTGGCAGCATCATCATTTATGGATGGGAGATGTCAGGACTTAAGCACAGTCTGAATGATTTAACCAGAAACAGTCTTGGTGAAAAATTATCCCTTGTACAAACAATTATCATGGACCATTTCCACTATGGCTTTTAAAGGTCAGAATAGAAATGAGTGAATTTGTCTTCTGACTCTTACAAAATATACAAGACCTTAAGAGTTATTATTCAGATTATGGTTGCCTGAGATAACTTTAGTGTTTAATGTGAATGTGCCCCTTCAACTTGAGGGTATCCACCTAACAGATTAAATAAACTTTGAAGTAAGGAGAAGGGAAATGGAATACATGTTTGGACAGTACTATGAGAGAAGCCGGTAGAATGTTAGGAATAACTTTTGGGCTAAAACCAAAAGAAGACATTGAGGCAACTCTATAGTAACTTTTGATTTATACCATGTAGCTTTAAGAAAATATAAAGAATAATAATTTGAAAATCAGCAAAATACTGATTTTCACAAACTCTACTGACAACAGGTATAAGCACAGTTCTTTTAGTAATAACCTGCCATCTTTCATGAGCACCCACTTTCCCTGATTCTTTTGGAAAAATGGCTTCCCTAGAAAGGTCAGTCAAGTAGGTAATCTGTTCACAGCACAGTGCCGTGCACGTGCATGGTGACTACACGTGGCTCTTGTCCCATAACTCATTGGGTTCTGATTCCAATAAGAGCAACCCTGGCGCTAAGATCACATAGACCCGATTCTCCTCTTTACTCAGTTGATGAGTAATTTAACACCTGTATTTGCCATTCGCTGTTGGAACAATTTTTACCTTGACCTGGACCCTGGAGCTACCCTGTGAATTGAACCCAGTTATTGTGGTTGAGTTCACAGATAGTTTGGGAGAACATTCATGGCAATGTGTTGATGCTGCTCAGTCTGCTCAGGCCCAAGGAGACTTCTTGGGCATCAGGCATTTACACCAACTTGCTTGGAGCACGCTTTCCTCTGACTTCTGCTGGCTTTGCTGGCTTGCTCCTACACTGCCTTCAAGTCTTTGCCCACATAATCCCATTCTCAGGAAGGCTTTCATTTGATCACCTTAATAAAAATTGTAAGCTCCTCCCCCTCACGCCCCAGTGTTTGTCACCTCTTCTCTTTCTTTTTTCTCCGTGGTCATCTACTGTTTGACATAACTGTTTGCCTCTGCCTATTAGAAAGTAAGCAGGGAGTTCTGTCAGTTCTGTTCACTGCTGTATCCTTAGTATGTAGATAGCCAACTGCATTTGGTAGCTCTTTATGATGGAGTTACATCCTGATAAACCCATGTCTAAATTGAAAATATAAGTTAAAAATGCCTTTAATACACCTAACATCGAATGTCACAACTTAGGCTAGCCTACCTTAAATGTGCTCAAAACACAACATCCAGAAAACACTAGCGACACAGTGCACGTATATTATCAGTTGTTTACCCATGTGATCACGGGGCTGACTGGGAGCTGTGACTTGCTGCTGCTGCCCTGCATCAGGAGAGAGTGTCATAGTATGTACGTCTCCAGCCCAGGAAAAGATGAAAATTCAAAGTTTGTTTTTTACTGAATGAGTATCACTTTCACACCCTCTTAAAGTCGAAAAATCGTTAAGTCAAACCATTGTTAAGTTGGGCCCGTCTGTGTATTTGTTGAATAAATGAATAATTGTGCTGATGGTATTTAGGGCACTTATGCAAACCCACATTCCTGGTTCCCATTAGTGCTTGACTTTGGGATGTCACAGATGAATCCTGCTGTTATTGCTTCCAAATTCTTCAGCTCCTAAAAATGATTTCTCTGTCAAAAACAAGCTGCATTTGTAGGCTCTGTTTTCCTCATGTTGGGCAATCTGGAGCCAGTTCTGGCTCTCATAAGCATGTTTGTGGTTGCAGAGGAAAATGAATATTTCTCACCCAAATGTTGTCATGTCATCATCTCTGTCTGGCAACCAGAGAAACAGATGTTCCGTTCCTTGACCTCAGGCTAGTGGTTACAGTTTGGGTGTTAAATATATTTCACAAAACTGCATTTGCACATGTGAGGCCACTGTTTGCATTTAACTTTATGGAGTCTCAGAGCTCAGTACACTTTAGGGAAATGTCCAGTTTGGGGGCACTGGAAGTATGTTTGTCTATATGTGTGTGGGGGGTGTGTGTGTATGTGCATATCGACACACACACATAGATCCATACATTCATGTGACTAGCTAGCTAGATATTGCAAAACGCAGGTTTATTTTGAGAGTAACATTTCAAACGTGATAAAAAGTAGCCCCAAGGACATTGCCAAGACCAAATTTTCCTCTTTCCAGAAAGTGGTTTTCAGCAGATGATTTTAAAACACAAAATTTAAAAATAGAAAATCATACTGCTGTATCCTAGCAAAGAGGATTATTCATTTATTTATTTATTTTTATTAAAAAAAAACACTACATACCACCCTGAGCCAAGTAGAATGCTGAGTTTTGGGGACACAGGAATAAATGTAGAGTTTTGGTCTTCTAGATGGCTTGTTTGCTGGGGATGTCTGATGTGACCACAGTGGAGCAGGCGAGCCTTGACCACAGTATCCTAAGGGAAAAGGAAAGGTCCCTGTGTTGTGACACTTAAGGACTGGTCCTGTCTATCCCCCAGTGTCACCAATCTTGCAAGCCACATATGTTTGCAGGGCTTCACTTTCTCCTGTAAAATAAAGATTGCACTCTGTGATTTCCATAGTCCCTTTTAGCTGCACAGCATGGCTTGAGGGAGCTCAGAGACATCAGGGTGATTTATACACAGTTTTTGCCACCTGGTCATCCCTTCAAGCATGCCTCATGAATTCCTCTAAAACATATGGTGGGCAACACATCATCTGTTATAAGGTTCAACATCTTTTCATAGCAATGAGTGATTTAAGGTTGGAATTTCTAGTAAGATGAAGATGCCTGGGTGCCAGAGGTGGGGAGGAGAGGATGATGTTGGGTGTCAGAGACTTCCCTCTTTAAGGAGTGTTTGGGGATGATGGGCCACACTGGCTCTTGTAGACCGGTCATCAGTGCAGCCCTCACGGGGGCTTGGCATGTCTGTGGTCTTTCTCGAGTAGACCAGTGTCTCAGTGGCCTTGGCTCCCTATGACTCATCTGTGAAATTTTGTGTTGATTTCTTGGATTTCTTTTTTTCTTTCTTTTTTGTTAGCCACATGCTTGAGCCTATCCTGAGCCCACTACATAGAATCTTAGACGTTGAAATCAGCAACTCCATATATGATGTGGATAGTTATCCTACAGTTTAAAAATCACTATAGAGAGAGATTTAACAAAGGGTCGTGTGGGAGCAGTGGCCAGCAAGAATGGGCACCCACACTTCTTGGGAGTGGGCTCCTCCACAGTATTCTTAAAAGGTCTGGTAATGACCAGTGTTCTTGGGTAAGATCCTGTTCTATTACTAATCCGCTTTAACCCACTAAAGTAAAATTTGACTTCAGAATGTTTCTCTTAAGTGTTTTCTATAATCTTACTGTTGTTAGTGGAAAACCATCTCATTTTTTTTGCTGGTTAAAGATACATTAAAGATGATTAGATGAGTGGCTTTCTTTTTTCTTCTCAAATTCTTTTGCTTCTTTTAATAAGGATCTACCTGAAGTGTGAATTGATTGAAGCAATTGGACAATGAAGAATAGTAACATTATCTTCGTGTTTATTAGTAGCAAATTTATAAGGACCACTTATTTTTTAATGGTTATTGATATAAGGCATGGCTAATACAGTTAAAGTTTGAAAATATTCCAATTTCTAATTGACAGAAGAAGAACTGGCAACTCCACCACTAGATGGCATCATTCTTCCAGGAGTGATGAGGCAGAGCGTTTTGGACCTGGCTCGCAAGTGGGTGGGTCTTTGATATGAGCAACTTTTATAAGCACGGGTGGGGCGGGGCGGGGAGGGGGGGGAATCAAAATAAGCCCAGCTTAGTGTGGAAATAATATCCTGTAGCTGCAACCAATGTTATCTAATATTTAATCTTAATTTGAGTGAAAAGAACTCTACTAGGACTGCTTTGGCAAGACTATCAAATAAGTATTGTTTATAGGGTGGGCAGAGAGAACCAGTCTGTCCAGTTGTCCTAGTGAAGAAGTATTCTGGTACTAGTCTCAGGCTCTTGTATCAGGTGTCTCCTTCCAACTCACCTGGTTTATACTTTGTATGCTTCCATTTAGCCAGTCCTTAACTTTTCAAGTCTAAGTGTATCCACGTGGCAATGAATCATACATAGTTCTTTTTTCCTCTATTTATTACAGCGTAACCATGCTTATCATAGAAATTAAAGACTTTTACAGATATAAATGTTTACTAACGTAATAATATTAGTTTGGTTGCCTTCTTCTTTCCTCCCTCATGCCCTCTTTGTCCCCAAATTCACATACATGCTTATTTTAAAATCAAAACACTCAAGTGTAAAATTATTTTCAGGAGACTTTCTGATTCATGTGACACAGGCAAGCATGTTAAACTATTTGGTATTGGAAATGACATTATAACATACTCAAGAAGAATGTTGAATGAGTTGGTTATCTGGCAAAGGTTTTTGGATAGAACTTTTGACCCATGTGTTAAACTGATGTTTAATGCACATGAAAAGGCTTTGAGCAAGCTGTGGTCAAACAGTACTAATAGGGCAAATGTTTAGAAACACACACATTATCTAGGAGAGTATTAGCACAGTTCCTCTGGAAAAGACTTTGGAAATAGAGGAACTGGGCCTTGTCTACTACAGGGTTTTGTAGAATTATTTATAACACAACTGCCACATGCTGGCTGGCACATTGGGCATGACATTTACAAACTGTTTGTATAATTTCAAACAGCTTGCCCTGTCCTAAATATGTTTGCAGTTGGAAAGATGGAGTTTTGAAGCTCAGTAATTTTTGTTTTATTAAAGAAAAAATTCAACCAAGTACAGAAGGTTTGATGACAAGTTGCAAGTGGAAATGCTTTCCCACACTAATGATTTGCTAGCATGAAAATAGGTTATTATGGAGGAAGTTTTTTCTTGACTCCTTAGCTGTAATTTATTTTAAAAGCTATTTTAAAACAGTGAGACATAAATGCCAAGAGGCTTGTGGGGGGTTACCATGACTTGCCAGACAGGGGAAATTGTCCAAAGATAAGTAAGAGTGAGCAGAATAAAAACAATTCTGTATATTTATGAGATTTTATTTTTCTTTTCCAGAACACAGGGCTCAGCTTGTTTTCAGTTAACTTGGCTGATTTTCTGGAATTTATTTACCTTTGAACAACATAATTGGAATTACAGACTAAGATAAATTGAAACTTGCAAAAAGCAATATTTCTATCATAGGCATTTTTTCCTGCCCTTCCAGATACAAATATACTTACAGTGTGATGCATTCTTCTAATGTTCTGAATCTTGCCAAGGGCTGTGATTTCCATTTTTATCTGTTGTGGATTTGTAGGTTTTAAAAAATACTCTCTTCCTATTTAAAAACACACACACACACACACAAAAACTATCCATTCTTTGTTATCCTTAATGAAAATGGCCTGTTGACCCACTTTGAACTTTGACCACTAATATAAAAGAATGAGAACTACACAGATGAAAGAATGCATATTAAATAGTTTAAACAGATAGCTTTAAAATAATTAAATTTTGTTTTGATCTCTTATCCTAGAGCAAATAAAATATTGAAATAGTTCAGCGGAGGTCGACGAGGTTACACCAATGATTCTGCGATGAAACTCAATCTAATATGACACTAAGGCTAAGGGAGGGCATTGCTACTGTAAAGTCAACTGAATCAGTGAATTTAATTTGTGAAGAAAAAATATACAATTTCTCAAATAAAGTCCAAGAATAATTTTGATGTTTTAAACTAATGAAATCTTTCAGGTACTTAAACTTAGTCTATGTTTTTGCTCCATAAAAGACACATAGGAAAAGGACCACATTTGGAGCAAGCTGGGTCAGACCTGAATTCAGATTTTCTGCCATTTACTTGCTGTGTGGTTTAGGAGTATCACTCAACTTCCTCGAACCTTTATTTCTTCATCTGTAAAATGGGGATGATAATACCCACTGTAAAAATGAGAGAACTTGGAGTGCAGTGGATGCTCAAAAAAGGGTAGCTATAATTATTAATGTTATGATAATATATTCTCTTTTATGATAAACAGGATTTAAGACACTGTCAGCATAGAATACGCATTTATGTACAACTTGTGGGGCTTTAGCCATGGCAACAAATACAAGGCAATAAAAAGCCGACAAGTATTAAAATATACCACGCATTTTATAATGGTAATCATATAGTTTACCTTCTGATCATCTCACTTAGAGAGGCCGTGACTTTGGAGTAGGTTGCATAGCACATCAGTGTGTTTACTGGGAAGACTGTTGCTTTCTTCAGCTTTCTTTTTAGGGATGATTAGGGCGTTATCTGGGTTCAAAAAGCGTGTAAAGTAAAATGGTGGTAGTGCAGGGTCATTTTTTTGCATGTTTTTTTCCCTTGGAAATAGGTATTTTTTAATATTTTATATTGCACACAGGGTGAATGCAAGGTGTCAGAGAGGCACCTCACCATGGGCGACCTGGCAGCAGCCCTGGAGCAGAGCCGAGTGAAGGAGATGTTCGGCACCGGCACGGCCTGCGTCATTTGCCCGGTTTCTGACATACTGTACAAGGGTGAGGTAGGACAACGCCTCTTCACTACCTGCCATTTCTGAGCATGGCCTATGATTGAATTTTTTTAAATGTATAAACAAAATGCTAGCTGGACCCAGGATGCAAAGGATTTTTTTAATAACTTGGCATTTCGTTAACTGAGGCGGATTGTCCCCATGAACCTGTATTAGCTAATTATTTACCCTCATCTTTTTAGTGATTCTGCGTAAGCTCTGGCATGATGAGGAGTCAGTTCTGTCTTCAGACAAGTATCATGTCTGCCTTTTGTCAGTTTTGGGATTTAAGAAGGCTCTCTAGACTTCCACTCATTTCTTTCTGCTGGCTCTCTAAGGAATGTGAGTCATCACCCTTGAGGTGGTGAAAATAATGCCTCTGAACCCTAAGTTATAAGAGAACCCCAAGATAGAATTCTGGGGCAAGATGGGAAGCCAAAATGATAGAAGACAATAACGTAGGTGATGGAAGTGAATGTTTCTTATTCATTCATTCAACCAATACATGTATTAAGCACAAACAGGGCTCCAGAGGCTGTTCAGGTGCTGGTGATACAGTAGTTAAAAAGGGGACAAAACATTAGGGAAGCCACAGCACACTGACACAGAAGAAGGTTGAAATTAATTAATATTCAGTGTTAATGTGGTACCGTGTAAAAATGTTTAAAAATAAAAGATAAACATAGAGAGCAGAGAATGAGAAGAAACACACATTTTCTTTTTACCTGTATATATTCTCTGTGTACTTTAGTGCCTGTGGCTAAGAAAAAGTTAATAATTTCTCTTTTGAACCTAAGTAGTAAAGTATAATGGATAATGGTTGAGCCATTGCTGAGCTGATGATTGCCAGTCAGTGGAAGTAGCCAAGGGGAGCTAAGATTTACACTGAAACAGGAAATGAAGGTTGATAGTTTGGGTGACATCACTTAGATTTAAATTTCTGGTTTCCAATAGTATTTCCAAACTACTGGACTAGGAATGGTAAATAGTTATGAAAGGTTCATTTGAATGATCACCTTACATTTATCACTGCTATTATTATTGCTGCTGTTATTATTTAGAGCACTTCACAAATTTGTTTATTTGGCAAACCTAGTGCATTTACTAAAATCTTCCAGAAGGAATTCAAGCATTTGGTTGGAGGAAATTTTTCTCCCAGTAACCCAGTCTGATTTTACATGTGCTGTTCTGCCATTTTTGGGTCAGACTTTTTGCTTTGTCTTTATAACAAAGATCCAATAGTTACAATTAACATCATTAGCTAACTCTATCACTTAAAGTCATATGGGTATTATTCTTAAAACATGAATTGGCTTAAATTAATTATATTAAATATAAATTCTATTTACTATTCAACATCATAATTATTTTTCCTCAGCTGATGGATTGATTGTTTTTTCCCTGCTGATTTTAAGGGTGGCTGCTTCATTGCCTGAGGTTTTTGAACTTGCTTTTAGGGAATGGCTCCTGGCATAATTCCATCTACAGACTGTTTTCAGTACAGATGAATGGTTCCGTTATCATTCAATGCTCGTACTGAATATACCGCTACCATTTCATATTTTATTATGGTGGTATCTAGGTGATGTGTTATTGGTCTATTTTTTAATGAACTAAGGTTGCCATTAGGTCAGATACTTTTAAGTCCAATTATGATTTCACCTCTAGAAATAAGAAGTTTATAAAATTTAACATGTTTTTAATGGTCTTGTTTTAGAAGGCATTCAGCGCCAAAAGGCACATCTAATTATCCTATTATCCTAAAGGGCATAATAAGAAAGGTGAGAACATGGGCTGTCTACTAAAGTCCAACTATCCGAGGCCTACAAGTCATCAAGGCATGAATGGACATGACTGAAATACAAATTAGGCTCAAGGAATCCTTCTCAGCCTTGAATTCAACCATGCTATCCAACATTGTGAAGGTTGTGGCCTCTTCTAAACAGATATTGGTTTAGAGGTCCCTTTTGTGAAGGCAGAAACTTGCTTTAATTTATGTTCCTGAAATGACTTGCTTTAATTTGTGGCAAACTATCTTTTGAGTTCTCATTTCCTGCTGAGAAGGTTAGATATGAAGGCCAGTGATTTATCCTTGTTGACTCGAGGCATGCTGGAAGAAGTAGGGTTCTTTTAAATTCAGCCACTATTTTAGCCATCCCTAGCTTCTTATTAGTTTCTCAAATTGTCCTGAAGCCTGGTACATAAACCAGCGGTGCCCTAAGATCAGTTGGTAGGCAATGAACAACCTGTTATTGGCTACTTTTTATTCAAACTTGGAATAGAAAAGAGGCTTTGATATAAGGAGCTAACAGAATGAGATTATAATAGTGCCCTTCCTTATCTCAGTGGAATTGCCTTAATACAGTGGCATGACTGAGTGTGTCACTGGTTATCCCTGAGTACATAAATATCCTTAAATTCTCTCATGCCTGGTTTTCCTTCACAGACTCTCCACATTCCATCTATGGAGAATGGGCCTAAGCTTGCAAGCCGGATCTTGGGCAAATTGACTGACATTCAGGTAAGGGCTTCTTTCTGTTAAAATGTCATCTTATTTTAATCAGCTCATAGAACCAAATCATATTTCAATGGTGAGAAGAGAGTAAATCCTGCCGTTCGGGATCAACAAATGAAATTTAAGGAAGATGTTCCTGATAGTATGTGTGGGCATAAGCAACGCAGAGATGGGACAGAAAAGACATGTTTAAAAAAAAGAAAGAAAGAAAATAATTAAATAATTGTCAGGGACTCCAAATCACTATATATTTATAGATCATATATAGATCATATATAATTATATAATTTTAGATCATATATATGACCTAAAAATCTCATTAAAATATATACTTTTATAAAAGAAAAAAACTTTTTTTCTTTTATAAAAGAAAAAAAGAAAGTAGAAGAAAGCACAGAAAAAATTTAATATTACCTGTGATTCCAACACTGACCATTGTTAATTTTTGATGTCTCAATTTATAATAGTTTGAAAGCATTTATATATTTTTAGGTAAATATATTTTCTAACAAAATGGAATTATACATAATTTTTACCTGCTTTTTTTCATTTAATAAATCACTTGCTTTTTCATATTAAAATAATTTCAGTTTCATGTATAAAGTTAAAATTGAATTCTATTATATCTATGTACCACAATTTTTAAAGAAGTCATATTACTGTACATTGATTTTGTTGGCAATTCTTTTACTATTATAAGCAGTGCATCCCTGATTATTTCCTTAGGATAAATTCCTGGAATTGTAATTGTTGGGTCAAAGGGTGTGCATACCTATTTTTTTATATGCTAACTTTGCTTTGCCTGTTTTTTTGGAGCAACAATCTAATGTCTCACAAAGAACTTAGGCAACTTTCCAGGCAGGCATATCAGATACCAGGAAAGAAGAGACTGTTCTATAATTGGTAAATACTTCAAAAAGTTTCTGGATGATTTTGTTGAGTCGATGAGTGCCCATCACTGAAAATACCTAAGGAGAGCTGAGAGGTATAGTGAAACATGAGATGAATTTGATAGTTTGGGTGACCTCAGAGGTTGCTGGGTCCTAACACTGAGCGAAGATTCGCTTGGTTGGGCAAGCAGCAGGCCCTTACAGCACAGGTCCTCGGATAGTGGTAAAAACAGTATTTTTCAATATTTAGCAACTTTTATGCAAAACTACTAATATTAATAATAGAAAAGAATAATAGTAGCTTTTGAATCAATGAGGTCTCTTACCTCCACTCTTCAAAGATATTTTTCTATAGGAATTTTCTGCAAATTAATTAAATGGGGTATCTTAATATTGAAGACATAGTCTGTTTAGAGTTATTTTATACTTTTGTACATAGAAACAGTGAGAAGAAACTTGAAGAAATTTAGTAAAACTTTCTTCATGGGTGTTTCAGGTATTTACATTTTTTTATAGTTGTTTGAGCAAATCTGATGAAAGTAATGTTATCAGTGTTTTGCTCAAATAAAAAAAATACGAACAGAACTAAAATATATCATTTGCTAGATTACAAAAGTCTTTCTTAAAAACAGAAGTTGAGAGGTTTTTAAGAGGGGAGGAAGTGTGGTTATAGTGATAAAGGAAAACCGCTTTGGAAAATTTTCTTGAACAATTTGTACAGAAGAGAATGTTACATTCTATAGCAGTTAATACACAAAATGAGATTTCAGGGCTACCTCTGGGAGATTATATGAAATAAGAAAATTTGAACTGACTTGATTTGGTTGCAAAGGATCAAAAGAAAAGGAAAAGTACTCAACTAGGCTGAGGGGGAAAATCAAATTAAATTTGAATTGAAAGAAAGATCTAAGTAGAGGTGTTCAGCAGAGGTAATCATAAAGCTTTGGCTAAGGAAGGCAAGAGCAGGAATGTGCGCCATCTCCCTGAAGCAGTGAAAAATACTCCCTCCGACCGAACCCCAAGCTATAAGAGAACCCCAAGACATAATTTTGGGGTAAGATGGGAAGCCATTGCAAACATTCTCAGAAGGAGCATTTTCAAAAGTAAAATGATGGAAGCCAAGAATGTAGGTGACTGAAGTGAATGTTTTTTATTCATTCATTCAACAAATACCTGTATTAAGCACAAACCAGGTGCCAGAGGCTGTTCAGGTGCTGGCAATACAGTCGTTAAAAGGGGGACAAAATATTAGGGGAGCCAAAGGACACTGATACAGAAGAAGGTCAAAATTATGTTCAGTTTTAATATGGTGCCATGTAAAAATAGTAGGTTTAAAAATAAAAGATAAATATATGTAGAGAGAGAGAACGAGAAGAAACATACATTTTCTTTGTACCTGTATACTCCATATACTTTAGTGCCTGTGGCTAAGAAGGAGTTAATAATTTCTCTTTTTATCCTAGGTAATAAAGTATAATGGATAATGGCAGTAACATTAAAAAATAATGATACAGTCTAAGCTCATACTGAACAAAGAAACCAAAGGATACAGTTACACAGAACACATGAGATAATACGATTCTGAATTCAGCCGCAAATCAGAAGTACCAACTCCACTGCAAATTGTTAAGTACCAAAGGCCCATCATGCCGAATCTAAGACCACATCTTTCCTCTTCAATTATGTTACGCTTGTGGGCATGGAACCTAAAGTTTCAAAATTAATCTCTTGCAAGATGGCAAATTGGTGCTGTCAGCCAAGCTACTAGGCTGTCTGTTTCTCTCCAAGAGAAATAATTTAAGTAATTTTTGAGGAAAAGGCATAGAATTGCGTCATGTTTCACATTTGATCACTTTGACATTACACGGAAACACGGGTATTCCCTGCGGAAGGGGCTGGTGAAGTGAAGAAGAGGAGTGTGCAGTACCAGCCACCCCCCGCACCCCCAGAATGAAAACAAACGAACAAAACCCTTGAGATTCTTTCCAAGGGACCTTGAGGGAAAATTCCTTCTTAACTGCATATTTGATTTTCATTTAACCTGGGTGCTTCTGTATATAAGAATCTGGGAAGTTAAGTATTCATCTCATTTGGCTAATTATTCATATAGTTCCCCGGGTCCTAGATTGCCCTACAAATACCTCTTTGGAGGGGAATATTTCAAATGGCAGTTCCTTTTTTTTTTTCTTTTCATTTTTAAGCAACAAAGAAAAACACCTCTGTGTTCATACTTCCCCACACTGAAACTTGGAGAACACGCTCAAGGTCACCCATGTTTCTTTTTTTCCCCCATTACTCTTTGCTATTCCACTTAACCATCCTTTTCCCCTGTGCTCCGACCATTTGGGGTCTTCTCTGTTTTCCAGTATACTTTGCTATCTGCTGCTTGCTTTCTGCCTCTGTAACTTCTATACTTTTCCCACTTAATAAGACGTTGGTTATCCTTGGAGACGCATGTCCTTTGGGAACCTTTTAAATCTCTCCTGAATAACATCCTTTTCCCCAGATACAAACACACATTCACCCACCGAAATGCTACTGCTTTCTCCAGCTTCCGTAGTACCTGGAATTATCACATTATGGCCTTTAAATTACATTCTGGTTACACACTTGTCTTTGTCCTAGGGTTGTTTGAAGAGAGGAATTGTTTTATTCTCTTTTTGTCACCCCAGTCATCAGCGCATGGCCTGGGCCATAGTCCATACTCAGTAACATTTCCAGAATAAGTTAGAAAGGAGTGGCCTGGTGAATGCTAGACCAAGCCCATTCTAAAGGGCAAAAATGTTTTGCTCTTGTATATTAACACATTCTGAGAAAAGGTGAGAGGAAGGTCTCAAATAATGTCAAATTATTCTTCAAAAAACTTTCGGGGAACCTGATTTATATATTTCTATTCAAAGTGGCATACCCCTCGAGACTTCTCTCAGGATTAGCTCAAAGCTGGCACCCCCAGGTCTGAGGTGTCAGCGTCGCATGTGTGAGTGACTGGCGGTGCTGCTGTGGAGGTTTCAGGTGCGAAGTAGTGATTGCGGAGACCAAGCGGTGGGCATCTTCAACAGGAAAACACAGGGCAATTTACAGATGTTGTATCATAGAAATGCACACTCGAAACCTATATAATCTTACTAACCAATGTCACCCCAGTAAGTTTATTTAAAAGAATAGATAAATAAACTTCAAGATAAGAAAAAAAGAAGACAAGAAAAGCATGAGTGGGCTAGGAGCAGGATTTGTATCCCTTGCAGGTTACCAGATAGATTTTCTTTTTAAATCTGTTTTCCCCGCTAGTGGCTACAGCCTCGTAAGACTAAATGACCCTTGGTGGTTATGGTATTTTTCTTGCTTTCAGTGGAACAGCTTGATGACTGTCAGTTGCAGAAGGCAGAGCCTTGCCCCTTCCCCCTGCCCTCCCCACCCCCAACAGATATCCTGAGCTGTCCCTCCGTTTGAGTGCATTCTAAGGGAACATCTCCAGATTCCCCTAATGAAGCGGACCTTTGATGAGCTTCTCAACCTCTCCCTCTTTCCTAATACCTGCTACACCTCATGTTATGGGATTGCAGAGCTTTGCATGGCCATTGATCAGGATCCAGAAGAAAAATGACAGATTTATTACCTTGTGAGCAGCATTTACTATATTTTTATGGCATTGTAGAAAGTAAGTGCCAAAAGGACACAGAGGATGTCCTTTTATGTTGCTAAGAATTCTCTGCTGAATGGAAAAGGCATTTTAGCAAGAACCATGTAAAGTTATTTGCCATACATACGTTGCCTGTGAAGTAACGAACTTGCCATTAGTCATGTTTTGGTTGAGTGTTCAACTGGCATTCCTGAGAAGAAAAATTCTGTGTACATCACACAGATAGTTTTCCGCATAGGCTCAAAGTCCCAGCCCACGGCCTAGTGTGATTTGCTCTGCTGCTTTAACCCCATGTTCGGTTCCAGTGAACAAAATCAAGTAAATGTGACTAACAGAAGGACTGACAAATGTTGAGGGCCTGGGCCTGCTGCTGTGGTTGGGAATAACCTTGACAATGGTAAGAGAACAGCCTAGCCCTTCGGGCATTGTTCGCTCCCCCCTCCCCTCTGGACACCTACTCTTGGGGAAAGCATATAATTTTATCTCTGCTAAAATCTGCCATCTGTACTTTGAGTTATTTTCCCTTACAAAATTAAATTGAATTATCCATCATCCACATGAAAAGTTTGATTGCTAACTGCCTAGATCTAGATATTATGAATTACCTGTATTATCCTATCTCTTGGATACATCTCAGAATGCTGTGATTTCACATAAAAGCACAAATTACAGGATGAGAGGGGGAAACTAAATACGGATTCTGTAGGTTCACAGAGTAATGTGGCCTGTGACTGTCATTGTAACCAAAATTGATTTTCCACTGGCTATAAAACCAAAACAACTAATTGAAAGCAAATTTACTTTAACCAATGAGATGCAAGATGAAATTATAGTGGTCATGAATCACAGTTCTGTAGATTGCTAAAATGTCAATATGCTGACATTCAAGTATTATTAATGGCAAAATGTCTAATATATTAATGGGAATACAAATAAGAAAAAGAAAACACATATTTTGCTCTTACCTTACATCATGTTGACACCATACATAAATCAGGCAGAATTTGGGAATGTTTTATTCAGCATTCTTCATGAATCAACAGAATCAATAGTGGGAGGCCACACTTTAGATACCAATTTCTGATGAGGATTAGGCAAGTCACTGAGCTTCTTTTATTCTCCTTTTCCTGTAAACCAGAAGGTTGTGGGAAGACCCACTCTTGGCTCCAGTAATTTTTCCAGTTCGGTCGATTCTGCTCACTGAGCTCTTGAACACACAGCACTTGGATAATGTGGCAAAGGAGAAACTGCCACAGGCAGAGGCAGGAGAACTGAGCTTGTGATTACGAGTTTCCTAAAGCCTTAGTGTCCTTACCTGTAGCAGGAGAAGCTTGGCTTAAGAGTTCATTGCTCCTCGCATTTGATTTTTAAGCATCGGTACTTTCTACAAAAGAAAAGTTTCCTGGAATCTAAATATACAAAACCAGCAAGGGTGGAATTGTTCTTGAAGGAAAGATGTAAAACCCAAGTAAGAGTCCCACTTATTGGTTCATTCAAGTAAGATGATCGATAAGGTTCTTTCCAAATCAGAATGTTTAGATGTTTTGTATCAATTTCAGCCTAAGTTATATTAAGACTAAAGGGCCGATTTAGGTGAAAGGGGGACATCCTCTGATTTAGGCAAACACCTAGTGGCAGATTCAATGCATGCTACTTTGGGAAGGTGAGATCTATCTGTTCCAAGACCAATCTGTTCCAATCAGCCTCCACATGTGACTATGTGAACTTGTGGAGGGAAGTCTAGATGGTGGGCAAGAACGTGGTGTTTGGTGGGAAGAGAGACCTCAACTAGAGTCTGGACTTTACCTTTTACTAACCACAACCTTGAGTAAGTTCTTTAATCTCACCGATAAACATGCTTCTCATTTATAAAATAAAACAGGATCAATAACGGCGGCACCTGCTATCTGTGGTTCCTGTGGGGATCAAGGAGGCAGTCAGTCTGTAAAGCCCTTGGCATGGTGGGGCTGGCATGCAGTGCTTGCTCCAAGCGTGAACACTCTTTTAGATATAGGTGTTTGTTGAATGAATGAACAAATGAATATGGGACTGGCTTTCTATTTCTGGTATCTCGAACATCTTTACATTTCATTTAATTCAGTTTTAAATATTAAGATTTAGGCCTGCTAAAGCAAATTTGCTGATGCAAACAATCTAACTGTGATTATGATGCAGGTCCCTGATTCTTGAAGGGATAAGAAAAACTAGGATGCCAACATAATACAAACAACTTTCATTTAGGAAAAAAAAGTCACTGTTCAGATGCACTGGTCTTGTCGATATTTTATATGTATGTATATGTATATATATGTGTGTGTGTATATATACACATTATATACACATATATACACACACACACATATATATATATTTTGTCCATGAACATAAAATGCTCTTGAGAAAGGGGCTTCTGGAGCAGTCATTCTCAAACATTTGCTCCCATCAGAATATCCTGAGGCGCTTGCTGTACCACAGGTTGCTCGGACACATCTGCAGCTTCTGATTCAGGGCATCTGAGGTGGGGCTTGAGGATTCCCAGGTCTAACATGTTGCCAGGTGATGCCGATGCTACTGGTTTGGGGAATATACTTTGAGCATCACTGCTTCAGGGTAAAGATGATAATAGTTAAACTCAAGTCATTTGGAGCACAGGAGATTAATACAGAATAGTAATGACAAGGTATGCCCTTAAATATATAAGGGACCTACATCAACTATAAATTTGAGTTCAAGAATAATTAGAAACTTTGTAATTCTTTCCAGGTATTTGGTTGTTTCTGTTTAATCTTACTTTTAATGTGTATATACTTTCAGTGTTCAAAACAGAAGTGAACCTTTTGTACAATGTTGTTTGCATTTAGTTTGTTTATAAGTTATTCCAGCACTGTTAGTTTACAAACTGAAGGATATTTTCTTGTTTTTGTTGTAGTATGGAAGAGAAGAGAGCGACTGGACAATCGTCATATCCTGAATGGGAAATACAGCATATTGTCTGTGTGTTATGGGGACAGACTGTTGCTTTCAAATTATGAAATGTTCTTTGGCCACCTGTTTTTAGTTGTGCATAATGTAGTTTATATTATCAACGTTAGCAGGGTGATTGTTGTCTCATGCCAGAGAAAATGAATTGCAATCATCAAATGGTGTTTTGTGAACTTGGTAGTAGAAGCTTATCTTACCTTCCCTTAGAAAGATACTAATGTAAGCCATAGAGCATAGAATTTCCCTCACTAACCTGAGTGCCTCCCTTAGTACTTCTCTCAGATGCGAGAATGTTTGTTTCTTCTTTAGCATGAGTATTATTCTGCTCATCAACCAAATGAGTTGTTTTGTGTGTGTTTAAAAGCTGATCTGAGCAAATTTCATAGGTAACACTTCCTGTGACCCATTTTCATCCTCAGAAGGTCTTTTGTTGCTTTAAATCAAGACTTGGAAGAACTGTCTTTCCTCATGTCACATTTTTTTGCAGGCCCCCAAGTCCATTTCAAAGAACACCTCTCTCACCTTCCTGATGTCACAACCTCTTTGTGTATCAGCAGGATCCGTGCGCATTTCCACCGTCGCCCTTTCCACGTTGTGTTGTAATTGGCTGCTTGTTAGACTCCACTGTATCACTGAGGGTCTGTGCCTTAGAGATCTTTGTATCCCCAATGCCTGGCACATTAGGTACTCAGTAAATAATGACTAAGTGAATATTTACCTTCTATAGAAGTGAATCTTCTTTGTTTCTATATTATGAAACCTGTTTATTAGAATTGTGATTTTTGATTCTGACATTGTGCATACTTACCTCATAATGTCTTTATTTTCCGTCGACTGCTAAGTCAGTAGAGATACTCAGAAGCATAGTTCCTTGGAGGAATTGTTTCATATGTAAGGACTGTCTTGGAATTGAAGTTATAACTCTACAGAGAAGTCATGGTATCATACCAACCAACAAATGTTATATGTTAAGTGGTAAATACAAAATAAATCATCTCAATTAGTTTTTTAGTAGAAAGCAAAGAGAGGTATACTCTGGTTTTTATACTTTCGGTTTTATAAGAGCTCTTTTCTGTTGAATGGGGAGATGAGCATGTGGTTAGGGTACAGGGAACTCAATGACAGATGTCGTTTTACTGGTTTAGGAGCTCTGAGTTAAAACCGTATCCTGGTTTATCCAGGGGAGAGTAAAACAGAAAACATTTACCCTTGGAAGGTCAACTCTCAGACATTATATTTGGGTTTCCTTCAGTACTTTCATCTTGCTGAACATATTTTATTCTCTTTTCAAAGCAAGGGGAAAAAAAAAACTTTCTAAAAGTTTGATGCATTGAAAAATTTTCCTTAAGGCATTGAGCAGCACAGAGCAAATGGGGCTTTGATTCTTTTCCAGGACTTTTGGCCATGGGGTCTTTTTAGATAAGGAAGAGTAAAATGAAAATTAGGGAAGTATAAGATGAAAAAGAATGGTAAAAATATCTTTTAGGGGCTTTCAATTGTTGATCTGAGGTATCTGTTCTTTTCAGGCCTCGGGTGCTTTATTTTTCTCTATACTCCTCCCTCAAGTAGCATTCTAAGGGTATGGATTTGCCTTGGCTAAATCCTGGAAACTCATTTTTAACAGAATTTTTTTATTGTTGTTCAATTTCCTTTATTACCATTTTCCCGCCATTGCCCTGCCCTGCCCTGCCCGCCCCCCGCCCACGTTCAATCCTCCCCCCACCCTGTTGTCCTTGTTCCTGGGTCCTGTGTGCCTGTTCCTTGATTTGACTGTTCTCCCTTTTCTCTCAGTTGACACCCAACCACCCCATCACTGTCAGTTTGTTCTTTATTTCCAACTCATTTTTAATGTAGTATTCTAGATAATTCCAGACTTCCAGGTAATTTTAACCTATCAGGTAGCACACAAATGACCAGACTCACACTCCTATGGAAAATGGAAATCATTTGTTTGCCATAAATGCATTTTATACTTTGCTTCTCTAAATTTAATATGGCAAGGCATGTCCATTACCAAAGCCAGAGAACAATGTTTTGACATCGTGTCTGTATTAAAAAACAAACAAACTGAAGGTATCCTAAAACAGAGAACACAATCTGCCATTCTCCTTTAAGTAATAAGATAGGAAATTGACCTTGACACTAACTTGTTAAGTAGATTTAAAAGGAACATCTGCACATCTTTTTTCCTTGTTCACTGTTTAATTGCAGGGGATTAATACAGCAAGAGTGGCACATTGTAACTAGGCAATTATCCATTCTTCAAGACTTAGTTATGGTAACACTAATTGATCATTTAAGGTGTAAGATAGTGTAGCATTAGGAACATGTAAGGCTAATCTGCTCAAAAAGATCAACAAATTAATATTGTTGCTGATATTTGCATAATTGGCTGCAATTATTTAATGTTTAATTGGTTGATCAAATGAGATTCAGCAATTCACATGTGCATGAATATAAACAGTACTGGTGGCACTTGAAATGATAATGATTAACTTATTTTGCATGTTCTCTTCCTCCCACATTTTTCAGATTTTTTTTTCATTTCAGACCAAACTTGTCAGCTTTTTCCAGCAGATCAGTAGAAACCAAATTTTAAGATGAAGCATTCCAACATAGACAAAATGTGTGCATTTTGTGAAAATGTTTGCTGTTAGAAATTATAAATTACAGTAATTTATTAAGGATTAACTCACAGTACCAAAAGGAGAGTCCATATCACGGATATGCACCATGCAGCTGGCAGGAATGAATAAATTAAAAATACTTGCTTCCCCCTTTGCTTTCAAAAATACAAAGGAAAACTTAAAGAGAAAGAGAAATGTCTGAGAAACTTTGTTAGGGAACTCTGTTTATCCTCTCTGATAAACCCCCTTTGTTCTTTTCTCCAAAGATTTCTGTACAAAAGGAAAAAAATCAGAGGTAGCAGCAAGAAAGTGCAGTGCTTTGTCACCTACGTGACATGCAGTATCAGTACTCCTGAGGCCTGCGATATGTACACCCTGGGTTAAGATTCTTCACCATATCAGTTTTGTTGCTTGATACAATTGTATCTAAACAAGTGGTCTTGCTTTCTTAAAATCAGACCATTCTTGGGCACTTGAAGGCAATTAATGAGTGTATCTTAGTCAAAAGAATAGTAGGAGCCCCTTGTTCAAGCTGCAGTTTGAACTCTGCTTTTGGGCTCTGTGCTGTGAAATCAGCTGCTAAATAAGCTTATTTATTTTCCCCCCTTGGTGTGCAGTCATTGTATTCTTTTTTCTTAAAAATTTTATTTTTAAAATTATGTGTTCAGTTTACCATTATGATTGGGGGAAATGTGTTTTAAGCAGAAAATAATAGCATTTGTTCCCTTTCAATGACTGATATCGAAAATATTAGAGTCATAAATATTCATTGCATGTATTAAAGCAAAGGGCTTAGACAGGGGTTAGAGAAACATCATGAGGATCCCTTGTTTCATGTCTTGATTCTAAATATGATCAAAGAATTCTTCCTTGTAATGTGGATTTACAGAAACCTAAGTTACAGGTAGTAATGCTGGCAAGTAACTTTCGTGGACACTTTGCTTTGCCACTTCGCTTTGCAACAAGTAGAATTTGTTCAGCCACCTCTTTTCCAGATAACTCTTCAAAGAGGAGGCAAAGGGTAACCAGCTTTTCAATAATCATATCTTATTAATTGATGAGGATAATGGAGATTGTATTTCATTTGACCAGTTAATTTGATAAATACTGATTGAACACTCAGTGTACATCTAACACAACTTGCCATAGGAATTAGGAAGTTAGTTTTAGAAAATAAATAGTACATATAGTATATGATCCTCAAGTTGTTTATACGCTACTACTTAAACAAAAAGCAGTGTTAAATGCAGTAAGATAATGAGACAAAGACCAGAACATATGTGTTAATAAGAAATTACAATGAATATTTTAATCTCATTTTCAAAGGATATTTGCCCTTTAAAATGTTTATTTTTTCCTGTAGTCAAAACTACTCAGTCTAGTTAGAAGTTGGGGGTTATTCAGCCACTGCCTTGTGATGTGAATTCCCTCCTTCTGGTTTACTACTTACTGCCAACCTCTAGTCCATTTGTTAACTGCATTCTTTTGGAGCACTGTTGAGTTGTCATGGTACATCCAACAAAGGAACACCTCAAATTACAGCAGCTTTGATGACCTTAAAGTTAGATAGTACTGAAATAAAATTTCCTAGTGTGATTTTTTTTTTTTGAAAAGTGTCTGTTTAAGAGTATTAGCTTGAAAATAATGGATCTAGCTACTCAAAGAAATAGGTGCAAGACTATCTTTAATTTTATAATGATTTTTCACATTTTGAGGTTTTAAAATAAAGATCAATTAAACTGTTGCAAAGAGATTCATTTTTATCCTTGCCAAAAAGCTTTTTAAAAATACAAAAGTAAAAGAAAGTGATTTATTTTCATCTTCAGCATACATATCATAATAAAAGACTTAGATATTTTAAGGGGTAAGGTTGATAGTGAAATATATCAACAGGATATAGTAGTGTTTGTGAGTAAATCCTTGGGCTCAGATATATGTAAACACTTGATTTAATGAAAGATAAGGCATAAAATTTAGTCTTAGAACATGAAGTGGTCTTTAAAATGTGTTGGGTTTAAGTACTGAAGTTTTGGATAATCTTATTCTGTCAAGAATATATTTTTCACCCCACAGTAGATAGAGTTAGTAAGGCCTAAAAGTTGAGTTGCATCATGTTCAACTTACAGGATCTACTGTGGGATTGTAACTCTTAAATAGTGGTATGGGAATAAATTAAAACGTAGTTTTGTTGACAGATTTCTCTGCATATCTACTACCACAATGGCTAGGTTCCTCATTCCCCATTACTGAATTATGGAGGAAAATTTATCTAGAGAAGATGTCAGAGGAAGAACAACCGGAGGTAGAGAAAGAAAGGAATACTAGAGAAAAAAAGAAACAGGCTTGCTTCTGTGTTTTCCAAAGGAGCTTTTTTCTTATTCTGCCAGCCATAGGGATCTTCAGCTTTCAACACAGGTGCCAAATACAAATACTAGTGCCAATTAGGAAGTGACCAAATATAGTGGCAGTTCATCAAATAAGAGAATTAGGCCATGGTCAGTTGGCAATAATCTGAGGGTTGTGTTCTATGGAAAATGCTTTAGATGGCTACCTATTTGAATAATGCTTTATTTTATAATTGCATAGTCTCCATAACCTGTTGTGTCATTTCTTCAATGGTTTTTATAAGATTTGTGAAGCTTCTTAGAGGCTGAATGAAAGTGTAAGTGACAAGGAGTAGGTTGTGAATATAGGACTATTTTTCCTCCTTAGAAATAGTATTTACCGATACCCCCTGTCCTGGGTGAAGATTTACTGATTTGGAAATGAGTTGAATATTATCATTTAGTTTTTAACTAAAATGTGTGACAACACGCAGTTTCCTCAAGTTAATTTCATGTGGTCATTAAGGTCATTCTCAGGGTTAAGAAAGGAATTCAGACCGCTGCCTCAATTTTTACTTCATTGATGCAATTTTGAAGAATGCAGGAATTCTCTCCAGAGTATGGTTGTAGGTAAATTTTGAATCATCTTAAAAATAAGCTAGCTACTCTGTGTGCATCTGTAAATTGTTTCTTGTTGATGTATCAGAATGAATGGTCCTGTGATGCACTCAACTAGCTAATACACGGAGCCCAATCCCCTATTCTGAAGACTGTGTTTACTTGAGAAAATAACGCGTTTGAGGAAGTA